CAGCTCTCCAGGACTCAAGTCTTCTCTTCACCAGATTCTATACCTCAGTACCTGAAAACATCCTCCCAAGGTGGGGATATCAGACCCCTCAGCAAACTGGTCATCCTTGCCCAGACCAAACAAACTGGGTTGGTGCCAGATACCCACCTGTAGGCTTCTGGACACCTCCAGTAAAATAGCAGTAGCACTTCTGGTAGTCACGTCACCCAGCTGACTCATCTTAAGCTTCCAGTCAACAAACTCTCAGGTCTTTTTCTCATAAATTGTAGTTAAGCCAGATCTTCACTAACTTGTCCCTAGTCAGCTGGAGTTTTAAACCTGAATCTACCTCTCTATATTTTTCCCTATCAATTCCATCTGGCCGGCTTGAGCTTGTAGTTCCAGATTGTGGAGAACCCTGTATTGTCCTAAAGTGTCCTCTAACCATGTCATCCAAGACAGAGCAGCAAGTGTAAAAGAGGAGAGGATCCAAGACATATCCCTGGGGAATGTCCTAGACACATCCCTGCTCCACCTACTTTTAGAATCCCAGTCAGTAAATGCTAGCTGACCTTCATGCTGGCCAGTGCAGAGCAATAAGGCAGCCTCATTACTTAAAGTCAGATGGGGCTTGGAGACCTTAATTATATAGAGAGGGGCCTGCATCCTACAGTGGCTCCTGAGGAAAGAAAGAAGAGAGGGGCAGAGGAATGAAGGAAAGGAAGAAGAGTTACATTTGTAATCCCCCCATCTTCCCTTCTCCTGGCACCTAAAAACCAGGACACAAAATGTTCTAGCCCCTTTCATGTCCCATCCCCAGGCATGAAAGTGCTCAGGCAGAGAGGGGAAGATGGGAGAAAACTGTTTTGAGGGGTGCTAGGAGTTGGCAATACATCTCAGCAGGAGGAATCAAACAGAGGTTTTGAGGGCTCGGGAGTGGCAAGTGTTAAATCCACTTACTGTACCCAGGGGATGAGGCACCCTATCCTTCCCCAAACAAAGCAAGGTTGGCTCTGGCCTGGCAGGAGGTGAAGAATCAGGAATCCTGAATACTATGAGGGGTAGGGTGCAGAAGGGCGCTCTCTGACTCACGCCCAGAGGGAGCAAAATGCTGGCAATCTGGCCCAACAGTAATGGATCCTCTCCTCTCTCACACTCCCTTGCATGCAAACACACACTCTGAGAACAGCACGCACCCTGTATAAATGCCAATGTGCCCAGGTTGGGCTACAATAGCTTGGGGTGTAGGCAGGTACCTGCTGGGCCACAGCCTTATATAGTGGCCAGGGACCCATGTCCCAAATAAGGCAAGAAAACATGATGACTGGGATGTAATCAAGTATAGAGCCAGGAATATGGGTAGAAAATTGCTGTGAGCACTGGGGATGGGACATGAAAGGGGCTAGAACATTTTGTGTCCTGGTTTTTAGGTGCCAGGAGAAGGGAAGATGGGGGGATTACAAATGTAACTCTTCTTCCTTTCCTTCATTCCTCTGCCCCTCTCTTCTTTCTTTCCTCAGGAGCCACTGTAGGATGCAGGCCCCTCTCTATATAATTAAGGTCTCCAAGCCCCATCTGACTTTAAGTAATGAGGCTGCCTTATTGCTCTGCACTGGCCAGCATGAAGGTCAGCTAGCATTTACTGACTGGGATTCTAAAAGTAGGTGGAGCAGGGATGCGTCTAGGACATTCCCCAGGGATATGTCTTGGATCCTCTCCTCTTTTACACTGAGCACTTTGCCAAACAAATACCTCTTGGCAAGGAGGAAGAAACTATACCTTACCCCCAAACCCTCATCTAAACCGGGGTTTTTGGGAGATGGGACCCCCATATCCCACTGCATTGGCTTTAAATGAGAAATAAACTAATCAACATGGGTGCTTTAGAGAATAAGGACTTGAGTGTTTCTTGTAAAGGGCCTTATGGCCAGACAGGCTGGCTGCACCTAAGCCCTCAACAGGGCAGTAGGACAGCAAGGCTCCCATTACTGCCAAAGCAGGTGGAGTCTAGCCCCACTGACTACTACTACAAGTTCTGCATCTCTCCTCCCTCTGAATTGCTTTCTTCTGCATGAAGACTGCTTATCTTACTGTTTTCCACTTTAACTCCTATTGAGTTCCATTCTGAGTCAATAGTTGTCTTCAATGATGATATTGGAAACAGCTCCCAATACAGAAAGAGAACTCAAGAGAGGCTCTAGGCTGCCAAGGGCATTGGGAGGAGGTAGGAACTGCAGAATGTTTAAAAAAAAAAAAGCATGTCTGAATGTCCACTGACACACAAAAAGAGACTTGCTTGAAGACATCTAGGGCCCCTGGCCTTCTCTGGGAAACTGCTCTCAGAGAAGTTCAGGACACATCTGTTGCATGTCCCTCATGTGTAAAACACATGGCCTTGTAAGGTAGCTACAGAAGTCCTACCTCCAAGAGCTTGTCATCTAGAGAAGAAATGGATACCCCAACACTGAGTGCTGTAATAAAGGCACACAATGTATGAAAAGAGAATGTGATTCCAAATGGAAGAGCTAGGAAGGACATAGGAGGATGAGTTGAGTGGGGCTTTGAAGGAAGCATAGGAATTAGATAGGCACATTTAAGAAGGACAGCTCAGCAAAAGGAAAAGTTTGAGCAGAGTTTTAGAGACCAGAATGTGCTAGGATGTTGAGGGCAGGCGGCCAGTAGAATGATAAGCCTGAAAGATAGGCTGTCTAAAGCCATAGAGTAGAAGATGAGGTTTGAAAGGTTAGAGAAATGTATATTTTATATATATTTAAAGGTCCTTTGGAGGTTGTTAGACCTCACCCTGCAATTCCAGGGTTTTCAAGTGAAAGTAGAACCATTTTCTTTGTAAAAAAAATTTTTTATATATGTTTATTGATTTTAGAGACAGAGGAAGGGAGAAAGTGAGAGAAACATTGATGTGAGAGAGGAACATGGATTTGTTGCCTCCCATAGCCCCAACCAGGGAGTGAACCTGCAACCTGGGTATGTGCCCTGTGCCCTGACTGGGAATCGAACCCCCAGCCACTTGGTGCTTGGAGCAGGATTATGCTCCAACCAACTGAGCCACCTGGCCAGGACTAGAACTATTTTCTTAAACAAAAAACCCTTAAGTGTGAAACACCACATGAGACAAGAGTGGAGGCTGAAGTCTCCTCCCCTCCCCAACCCCAACCCTAGCAAAACAAGGCAATGGGATAATGCTGCAGGAATGCCAAGCAATTGGTTTTGAAATTGAGCAACATGGGTTAAATATCTTTCCCTAAGAGAACATGAACCCTGCTTTTGTTGGGTTTTTTTGAGCACTACATTATCCTCTGTTGTGTGAAAGCACTGAAGTTAGCTTACTCCAATCTTGCACTTTCTCACAAACATGACTTTTCTTATAACTGATTTCACTGTTCAATGTGAACTGGAAAAAAGAAAAGAAAAGCGCTGTTTATAGGTAAATGGGGACCAATAAAGAACGTTAAGCAGGACACTGATGTGATGGGATTTGTGGGTTGGGAAATTCATCTGTCCTCTGTGCAGGAGATGGGCAAGAATGAAGACCCAGGGAAAGACAGTAGTCATGAACATTAGGGCGAAAAAGAGCTGAACTGAGGTGATAGGAGAGAAATGCTGTGGGGTGGGGGCAGATGGCTCTGCCATTGTACTAAAGTATCCCCTCACCCCCTTATCTCAAGGCCACCTGCCCCAGGGTCCAGAAGAAAAAGACCCAGATTGGGGGATGGGTCTGCCTGCCACTGAGGCTGAGTGTATGACCCACAAATGGGGCCCGTGGGTGCCATTGTAACCACCCCTGCTTGTATGGGACCCTTATTTTCCTGGAAGGAGGGCAGCATGAAACCACCCAGAGCCAGGCTGTATAGTACCTTCTCCCATCCTCTCCCTCCCTAGGCTCATTGAACATACACTAAGTGTCTTTTTTAACCCACAGTGGTTGGTTATAATTGGTTCTGAAATGTCATGGAGAGGGGTCTGTTAGGGGACGGGTGGGAAGAACAGAGCTGGGAAGTGAGGTGGAGCAGGTGCAAGGGGACAGCTGTGAGTGAAAGGTATGAAAACAGGCACAACCAACCCCCCTCTTCCTTTGCGGTTAGCTGGGTAAACAACCTGAGCACTGTGGGGAGGAGCTAGGGAAGAGAGGGCGGTAGGGGAGGCTGGGGAAGAGGAAGCTTCCGGAGAGAGTGGGCACATCCCCTCCACTTGGAACAGGCTTCCTCCCCCCTGTGCCTGGTTTCCTTCACTTCCTTCTCCTTCTGAAGCTCTCCTTGCTGTCAAAAAAGGAGAGGGCTGAGCAGGGAGCGTGCTAGTGATGAGAAGTAGCAGGAAGGGAAGCCCAGGCAGTGCTGCCTAGTAGTAGTGGAAGTTTTGGCTCTGGGGTTAGATCAAGTGGATTCAAACAGACCTGATCTTTAGCGAGACAGATTGTTAAAATAGGAACATTACATACCTGAGCCTGTTGTGCAGGTGAATTGTATCAGGAGGCTATCACTGCAATTTCAGTTATAATGACAACAGACAGGAATAGGGGGACAAATCAAGAGGAAGCCAGCAGACCACATCAGCATTCATTTCATCAGTGGGATCCTAGGTTTTGGAAACTGGAACAGTTGGTTCCTTATCCCAACTAGAGCCATTCCCAAACTGAAGTCCTGATGTGAGCCCCTGAGCCCGCAGCCTTCCAAACCTGAGGACACACAAACACAGAATCACTTAAAGGTGCACAGCCCTTCAGGGTTTGTGAAACATGTCCACACCGTGTATCTCCTTTCTTCTTCATTACCACTCTGTGAGCAATTAGTCCCTTTTACAGATGAAAGCTGAAGTTGGAAAAGGCAAAATGATTTATTCAAGGACACATAAAGAGAAATCAGGATTTGGTCAGTGGGACATATTGGGAGTGCAGGATCAAAAATAGTTAGCCTGGAAGACAGGAAAAATCTACAAGGGAGTCAGGGTTCCTCTTGGGGAGGAAAGATGGGTCCTCAGTTCTCTGTCCTCCTGTCTTCTTGCTCATGCAGTACAAGGATATAGCTAACTACAGTGACAGCACGGAGAACCCCCCACTGGAAAATCACATCTGCTCCACAGCTGAGGAGCCCCTCCTGACCTCCTTCAAGGCTGTGTTCATGCCTGTGGCCTATGGCCTCATCTTCCTCCTGGGTATGATGGGCAACATCCTGGTGTTGGTGATCCTGGAGCGGCATCGACAGACACGCAGCTCCACCGAGACCTTCCTCTTCCACTTGGCAGTGGCTGACCTCCTGCTGGTCTTCATCTTGCCCTTTGCTGTAGCTGAGGGCTCTGTTGGCTGGGTCCTGGGCACCTTCCTCTGCAAAACTGTGATTGCTCTGCACAAGATCAACTTCTACTGCAGCAGCCTACTCCTGGCTTGCATTGCTGTGGACCGCTACTTGGCCATTGTCCACGCTGTCCACGCCTACCGCCATCGCCGCCTCCTCTCCATCCATATCACCTGTGCGACCATCTGGTTGGCAGGCTTCTTCTTTGCCTTGCCAGAGATTCTCTTCGCCAAGGTCAGCCAACCCCATCACAATAACTCTCTGCCGCTCTGCACCTTTTCCCAAGAGAACCAAGCTGAAACCAACGCCTGGTTCACCTCCCGCTTCCTCTACCATTTCGGGGGATTCCTGCTGCCAATGCTAGTGATGAGCTGGTGCTATGTAGGGGTGGTGCACAGGCTGTGCCAGGCCCAGCGGCGCCCTCAGCGGCAGAAAGCAGTCAGGGTGGCCATCCTGGTGACGACTGTCTTCTTTCTCTGCTGGTCACCCTACCACATCATCATTTTCCTGGACACCCTGGCGAGGCTGAAGGCTGTGGGCAGTAGCTGTGAGCTGAATAGCTATCTCTCTGTGGCCATCACCATGAGTGAATTCCTGGGCCTGGCCCACTGCTGCCTCAATCCCATGCTCTACACTTTTGCAGGGGTGAAGTTCCGTAGTGACCTGTCACGAATTCTGACCAAGCTGGGCTGTGCCGGTCCTGCTTCCCTTTGCCAGTTCTTCCCTACTTGGCGCAAGAGCAGTCTCTCTGAGTCAGAAAACGCCACCTCCCTCACCACCTTCTAGGTCCCAGCCCCGCTTTGTTTCTACTTTCTTGGGGAATACTGGAACTCTTCCAAAAGGAGCTGGGATCCTACGAGCTCACTTTGGCTGGTGTCCTTACAAGGGGCAGCTAGACAAATCAGTGAGTCTTTCCGGGACATCCCTGCCAGCTTTTCTCCCAACCCTGGGGCCGGACTGGAGTCCAGGGAAGGGAAAGCAGCTCAAAGGCAAAACAAAGGATACATGTGCCCATCTGAATCACCTTGGACTGAGAGACTCCACGTGCCTTCTCTCATTTTAACCACCCAAAGCTCAAGAAACAAATTTACTTCTGTCTTAGCCAATATGGAAAGTCATTACCCTCCCAGAACACACTCCATCATCTACCCAGCTTTCCTCCCACCCCATCTACCAAAAGAAGCCAGAAGCTGAACACCAAGGGATGGATGGAGGTTAAGACTGAGGAAAGGTCAGCTGGCTTAACAGAATGCGGCCTTAACATGTCTCAGTCTCTAACACATATCTTCCAGGCCATCAGCCCTACAGCATCTTGACCAAGCAGGAAGCTCAGACTGACTCAGATCAGGTAGCTGTCCCTGGCTCTAACCAAAATGGTACTGGATGAGCTCCATGGCACTGGACCCTGGGAGGTCTACAGACTGAGGGCAGGCTCCATGCACCCTCAGAGACCGGCCAGTGTCCTGGAGAAGAACCAAGGCTGAACTGCAGGAAGGAGCACAACTAGAGGGGGGGAAAAAAAAGATTCTCCTTCCCCGGTCCCAAGGAGGAAAAAGTATAAACCAAAGCCAACTATCTCCTCTGCCCAGGATGGAGAGCTCCCAGGGCAGACCAGGGATTGCAGGGTTCTGGGCACTGATGGATGAGGCATAGTGGTCTCCCCCTGACTCCTCCCAGTGAGTCACACAACCAGGAGAACCACCTCAAGCAGGAGAAGGATCCCAGTCACAGCAGAGAAAGCGCTTAGCTAAAAGTCAGAACCACTATGTACACCGCTGAGAAGAAAGATAGAGGGAAAGAGGCCTCTGGGAGTCAACTCATATAGCCTCCTGCCAGGAGGCGAAGCCCAGCACACAGGCTCTCTAGGCCACAACAAGAGCCACCTGTGTCATCCCCTTCAACTAGACCATGTGAGAAGCAGGCCTGGGTAGGGAAGTCCCTAGACCCCAGGAAGCGGGGCCCTGCCCTTGAGAGGACACTACTCAGATGGAACCAGGGGAAGTTGCTCTACGCACACTCACCCAACCAACCCACCTGCTCTCCCTGTTCCGCCTCAGCTTTTGGCATAGCTGGAGTCAGACAACAGGTATCTTGCTGAGGGCATACCTGAGTTGCCTACACCCACTCAAGCCAATCAACCAAGTTCCCTAGGAGGACCCATAATGGAAGTCAGGGAGACGACCCAGGCACTGTGCTTTCACCATAGAACACTGGGGAAGCTCTGGGGTCTTCCTTTTTCCTCCCAGCATCCAACAGCAAGCTGGGCACCAGAGGAGCCAGACATGGAAGCAAAAAGGCAAGAGGTTGGATTTTTAAATTTTCTTTTTAATAAAAAGGCACCTATAAAACAGGTCGATACAGTACAGGCAGCACAGAGACCCCCGGAACAAGCCTAAAAATTGTTTCAAAATAAAAACCAAGAAGATGTCTTCACATATTGTATTTATATATTTATATTTATATATATATTTATATAATGGTACAAAATGGCTGGGGGTTATGGCCATGGATGGAGGGAAGTAGGCTGGCCTGTGGAGTTTACCTTGAAAAGCTACTCTGATGGTGCAGTTGGGAGAATGAGAGCACTGGGCCCTTTGCAGTCTGACCCCTCTCATCTGGGCAGGAAACACTTAAAGAGTCAGTTTGGAGAATTTGGGGTCAGGAATGGGGGGCTCACGGGCACAGGCCTAGGTTGAGGCAGGGCAGGCAAAGCACCTAGCTGGATGGAGGGCAGGTGACTCCTGGATACAGAGGCCTGGCTCCTGGGCCCTGGGAAGTGCTGGGGGAGGCCGAAGCCTAAAGCCAGCCAGGGAGGAAGTGCTTGACCTGGCTGACAGTGGACTGAGGACAGCACCAGACTGGGAGAAGTTGGGGGCAATTTCCCTTTATATCACAGCTGCCAATGTGAGCCCGGGCCCTGCAGGTCAGGAAGGCTGAACACGGTGCCCTGGCAGAAGACACCTTGTCTAAAAATGGCCCCTGGCCCTGGAAGCCTCAGCCAGGGAACTGCTGTGCCACCTTACAAGGCAGGAAAGGAAGTAAGAAAAAGAGAAGTGTTTTACTCCTGGGGCAAAGGCGGTGCGGGGAGGGGGGTGCGCAAAACACCCAGTCTTATATGGCTTCAGCTCTGACCAGAGGTGGGTGGGGAGCTCTTCTGGGGCTGAGGGGGAGGCAGTGACTGCACCTGGGTGGGCACAGAGCCCTGAGCCCTGGGCAGAGGGGCTCTGCCAGTAAGTGGGAGGCAGGCAAAGTCAACAGGATGCTCCCCTGCTCCCTGTCCAACTCTTTCTCTAATCCATCCTCAGTGGGTGGAGGCTGGTGGGACAGAGAATGGGCCAAATCCTTTTTCTTTCTCCTTTGGTGATAGAAGTAGGTGACAGCCTCTGGAAGAATCAGGGCCCTGGGGGTTACCTGGCCCAGGGCTACTGCAGCCGGAATGGACCATCTGGGCTGCATGCCTTTCCTCCATGGCTCCACTCAAAGGGGCCACACAGCCTCCACCTTTCTCCTTTCCTTCATCCCACACTGGGAACCAAGGACCTCAAGCTCTGGCTAAGATGTAGCAGCAGGAGACACTAGACATCCACAAGTGGGAAGCCAGGGGTCCACGTCACCTGTGTGGGGCAAACACAAATGCACGCACACATGTTCTCCTGAATCACTCGGCAACAGACAGACTGCTGCCCTGGGGGTCTCAGCCCTGCTGGGGCTCACCAGATAAAAGCCTAGGTGGTCTGACCACAGTTTAGGTGTGGGGTATGTCATTTCACCATTTGGGGAGACCAGAACAGTATCCTTTATGGACCCAGTAATGCTGTTAACAGTGGATCAGTGTATCAAGACTGCATGCCCCTGGGTCCAAAGGAATGGAACAGGTAATAATTTGAAAAATGGGGGGTTTCTTTTATCCCTTTTTTTGTGTGACTTATATCAAAACACAGAAATACAGCACACACACAAACCAGCACAAAAGCGCAGCTCTCTATTTACAGCTACAGCTGGCACCTGCCACCTGGCCAGTCACCTGTGGAGAAGGGTGGGAGAAGGGGTCAGCTGCATCGGCAGGGAGAAGAAAAGGACAGGAAAGACAGGTGGGAGTAGAAAAACCAAGAGGAGGAAAGTAAGGTTGGAGCCCTGAAGAGATACTGGCAGAAAGGAAAGGGATAGAAAAGGGAGATTTCACTTCCCCTTCTTCTCTCCCCAAGGGATTCCATACATAGCTGAATGAGGGTGGGTGCAGAGACATAGGGAAAATAGAGGCTCCGTAGGACTTGGGGGGTGAGGAAGAGGCAGTCTGATGGCTGAAATGGAACAAACCCCTACCCAAAGCCCCCCACCCTACTCTGCCATTCCTACTAAGCTGCCAGCACATCTGGTTGCCACAAATGCCATTCCCCACACAAGCCCCCTCCCACCCCCTCCAACCCGCCCCTTGACCCCAGGTCATCCCAACACTGGAGAGGAAGAAAATTTTTTCAGGTTATCCTATTTGCAATATTGCCCCAGCTCCAGCCCCGAAAAGGGAGTGCTAGAAGGGCAGGTTGGCCATGCTGCCTGGTGCAGGGAGGTAGCCCATCTGGCTGTCCAGAGACACACTGCGCTGCCGCAAGGGGTGGGACACCATGAGGTTCTGCTGGGGCGGGGGGCCCATGAGGGAGCCCTGTGGGGAGAGCATGTGGGGGGGCTGGCTGTAGACCTCACCGCCCACGCCCCGCTGCTTCATCAGCATGAAATTCTGCTGGGTTATGAGACCTTGTGGAGGGGACATGACCCCCTGGTGGAGGCCATGGGGCACCATGCCTTGTTGTGGGGGCACACCTGTCCTGCCCAGCAAGGACATCTGTCCAGGGTGACACATCGACATGTTGAGCCCCCGCTGGACGCCCTGCTGGCCTGGGAGGTTGGGGGCCCGTGAGGGAGTTTGCTCGGCCATCATGTTCTGCAAGTTCATGAGATGGAGATTGGGGGGCTGGGCCTTGGGGGGCTGGTTCTCGCTCTTGGGGAAGTACTGGAGGGTGCTGCTTGGCTTCTCAGAAGGGATGATCCTTGACAAGTCGAATTCAGGGATCCCCGTCGGGGTGGGTCGGATCACCTCGCTCAGCTCGGGGTCATTCAGCACTGATGCCACCCCAGGGAGCACGCCCGGTGGGTACGCTTCGCCCATGCGCCCAGCCATGCCTTTGCCCATCAGGTGCTGCTGGGGGGGCATGGAGCCAGGTGGCTGGTTGGGCAGGTCTTCAGGGGGCAGGGGTATGCCTGAAGGGTAGTGCTGCTGCAGGCCAGGCCCCCCACCCCCACCCCCACCGGGGGCCATGGCACCATGGGGCTGCTGCAGCCGAGGCGGGAAGGACATCATCTGGGAGGAGCTGGGCACAGGGCCGCAGGGGGCATTCAGGGAGTCTGGGCCCCCTGGAGCCATCATCATTGAGTTTTGAGAGGGTCCCCCTGTCCCCTGAGCATTGGGGTGCAGTGGAATGTTGGAACCCAGAGGGGTGGGGGAGGGCAACATGGAGGGTGGGGGCTCATGAGACAGGGGCTGCTGGCCTGGCAGGTTCATGCCCATGGGGCTTTGGGCAGCAGCTGAGTTCAGGTGCATCTGGTTGGACTGGTTATTGCTGATCCCTGTGGGGAAAGAAAAAAGGAGGTGAGGAACTATGTGCACCCAACCCAGCTGGTGCCAGGGGTGAGGACTTTCACCACTGGCTTGCCCTGGTTGCAATGAAAGGGACTTGAGGCATTTGTGTTAGAAGCCGAGAGATCCAGTTTCTGGCCCAGTTTGTCATGGA